TCTATACTTTATATTATATATATACATCTATATATATATATATATATATATATATATATAGACATAATATATAACATATATATATTGTTGATACAATCTATGCACAGTATACATACAGATATACACTAGATAATATATATATATATAAATAAATAAATATATATATTTATATTTGTTTATATATATTAATATTAATATTTATTTATTACTACAAACAAACCTGCGAATAAGCGAAGAGGAGGTAAATAAGGTAAATGTGCTGCGGTAGGCTGACACTGCAGATTGCAATCTAAAAGAAAATCTGATAAACACAACATGCTGCTGCTGCTGCTGTTGCTGCTGCTGCTGCTGTTGCTGCTGCTGCTGCTTCCGTCCTTGGTGGTGATAGCGCTGACTGCTGCATCAGCTGTGCTGCTGCTGCTGCTGCTGCTGCAAGTGTTGCTTCCATTGTGTATATTGTTGCTGATATCGTTGGTGTTGCTGCTGTCGTTCTCACTGCACTCGCTGCTGCTGCTGCTGCTGCTGCTGCTGCTGCTGCTTAGTTTATAATTTGCTGCAATGATGAGCCGCAGGTCTATGACAACCTCGGGGCCTTTGGGTGTTGGAGGAGATTTAAACATTTTTATGTTTTGTTTATATTAGATTCGTTTTCTGCTGTTGCTGCTGCTGCTGTTGCTGCTGCTGCTGCTGCTGCAGCAGAAGCCTCATGGTGAGTGTACATACATAGAAAAAACAATAAAAGATATTAATTAGATATATTATAATAATAAATTGCTGTTTTCTATTAGAGAAGAAATAAACAAAAAAAAGAAATACTAAGAAGACAAACGCAACACACAACCAGCCCCAAATAACACATGCATGCGATCCGCTGCTGTTGCTGCTGCTGCTGCTGCTGCTGCTGCTGCTAGTATAGCAGGGCATGTTAATGTGATGATAGGCGTAGTTATAGATTTTATTATTTGTTTTATTTATTTATTTATTTATTTATTTAATTTATTTATTTTATTTTTAATTACTATTGAAGTAGTTCAGCAACAGTTGCTGCACACACCTCAAACAAAGCCAGAAAAAAGTATTTATTTAATATATTTAATTTATTTGTTTTATATATTTAATTTATTTGTTTAATATATTTAATTTATTTATTTTATTTAAATAATAAAATATTAAAACGCATTATTATATTATATACTAAATTAACGTATTTTGTTTTATATACACTGCAAATATTAAACACCGTTAATATATTTTCTGTTAATATTTAATTAAATAAATAAATTGCTTATGTCATCTTTGTTCTTGCTTCAGCAGCAGCAGCAGCTGCTGCTGCAGCTACTGCTACTGCTGCAGCAGCACCTACTGCTGCTGCTGTTTTTTAACGCAACGGGGCATCGCTTTACTCTCAAGCCCCCTCAGCTACCAGCAGCAGCAGCAGCAGCAGCAGCAGCAGCAATGAGAGAAGCAGCAACCGCACAATCAGCAGCAAGCAACAGCAGCAGCAGCAACAGCACCATCAAGAGCACGAGCAGCAGCAACATCAGCAGCAAGAGCAACAGCAACAACAGCAGCGGCAGCAACGTCACAAACAGCAGCAGCAAGGGCAACATCACCCGCAGCAAACTCAGCAGCAGAAGCAGCAACGGCAGCAGCAGCAGCAGCGGGGTGAATGCTGCATTTGCGCTAAAGTGCAGCAAACTGAACACTGCAGCAAAAGAGAGACAAATAATTAAAATATATATAAAATATATTTGTTAAGCGAATCATCACTATTGATGCTTCACTAACACACCCTCAAAGCAGCAACAGCTGCAGCAACAGCAGCAGCAACAGCTGCAGCAAAAGCTGCAACAACAGCTGCAGCAAGAACGGCTGCTGCTGCAACAGCAGCGGAGAGAAGCTGCAGCAACAGCAAGACTAGACCCCCTTCTGCTGCGTCGAGAGGCTAACATCAAAATGCTCGCAGCTAACTGGCGCTGCTGCTGCTTTGTTGCAGCAATCAGCAGCAGCAGCAGCAGCAGCAGCAGCAGCATCCGCCACATCCAGCTCCCCCTACACACAGCAGCAGCAGCAGTAGCAGCAGTATCAGCAATAGGAGCAACATCAGTAGTATCAGCAGCCGCAACTGCAGCATCGGCAGCAGCACTGCAGCAAAGAGACTGAAACATAATCAGCAGCAGCACCAGCAGCAGCAGGGCTTACTGCCTGCTTCAGGGCTTTGTCTAAACGCTGCAGCAGCAGCGGCTGCTGCTGCACCACCGCCGTTCGTAGCTGAGAGCAACAGACACCGCAATGTTGTTGCAGCATCAAATGCAGCAGCAGACGCAGCAGCAAGTGCAGCAGCGGCAGCAACAACAGAAAAAAGCTACAACAGCAAATGCTGCAGCAGCAAGCGCTGCCTCAACACAGTACGCATGGCAGCAACAAAACAACAGAAGCCCGAGTAGCAGCAGCAGCAGCAGCAGCAGCAGCTGTTGTCATGCCAGCAGCAGCAGCAGCAGCAAGAACAGCAGCAACAGCGGGTGTAAACCTTGCTGCAGATACCTGTGCAATCGCTGCTGCATGTATTTGCAGCTCTCTTCTCGCCTCCTGCTGCTTTTGCAAGGATCCATTTGCTGTTGCTGCTGCTGCACTGCCTCCTGCTGCTGCTGCTCCTGCTGCAGGTTCTGCTGCTCCTGCTGCTGCTGCTATGTGCTTCTCAAGCAGAGACACTGCTGCTTCTAGACTTCCTTGCAGCAGCAGCAGCGGTAATTCAGCAAGACCCCCAGCCTCTTCGTTTAGTCGATTGTGCAGGAACGCCAGCTGCAGCAGCAACAGCAACAGCAGCAGCAGCAGCAGTATACAACACCTGCTGCATCGGCAGTGGGCAGAGCAACTGTTCAGTCAAGGGGTTTAACCCTAAACCCTAAACCCTAAACCCTAAACCCTAAACCCTAAATCTTAACTAACCCCTGTAGAGTAAACCGCAAAACCATAGCAAGGACAATAATTTCTGCAGCAGCACGCTGCTGCTGCTGCTGCATCTGCTGCTGCAGCAGCAGCAGCAGCAATGAAGCAGCAAACTACTCACCACTCCTGGGGGTATTCGCTGCGGGCCCAGCATGACGGCTAGAGACTCCAGCTGCTGCTGCAGGGCTGCAAATAGCCGCTGCGTCTCTACTCGTTCTGCTGCTGCTGCTGCTGCTGTGGGAGCTGCAGTAGCAGCAGCAGCAGCAGAATCGGCAGCAGCAACCCCGGGCTGCAGCGAAGAGCTGCAGGAATTCGAACGCCTCCACTGTCTGTCCAGGTGCTGCAGCAACTCATCCCACCTATTCATCCTCCTCTGTTGCTGCTGCTGCTGTTGATGGTGTTGCTGCTGCTGCTGCTGCTGCAGTACTTGCGAAGGACCGCTTGCCTCCCCCTGCAAACACAGCAGTGCCTCAACGTTATATTTACACTCAAGCAGCAGCAAGAGTATCTGCTGCTGCTGCTGCTGCTGCGCCTGCTGCTGCACTGGGGCACGGCAGCAGCATCCGCAGCAGCGCCAGCAGCAGTAGGTGCTCAGCAGCTCCAGCAGCAGCAACGACAGCGGCAGCAAGACTAGCAGCAACAGCAAAGGGGCAGCAGCACCATCAGCAGCAGCAACGCCAGCAGCAGCAACAGCAACAACGCCAGCAGCAGCGACAGCAGCAACTGCATCAACAACAGCAGGGACAGAAGCACCACCAGCCACAGCAGCAACAACAACAGAGCAACAGCAGCAGCAGCAGCAGCAGCAGCAGCACTTACTAGTTGGGAGTTGCATCTAAGGGCGCAGTAAATGAAAGCGCTGAAAGGAGACAGCAGACTTAATTCGCAAGTGCAGCAAAGACGTACTGCAGCAGACAGCTCGCCGAGAAAGGCCTGCAGCAGCAGCAGCAGCAGCAGCAGCAGCAGCAAAAGCAACAGCACCCAACATGTGAGAAGTCTGAAGACTACGCGTACAGTCAGAAAAAATTTGCTGCTGCAGCGGCAGCAGCAACAAGATAGCTAAGCAGCAAATGCAAATAAAACACAAGTGAGGGTGTCCTTGCTGCGCCGCTGTTGCTGCTGCTGCTGCTGCTGCTGTTGTTGTTGCTACTGTTGCTGCTGCTCCGCTGCTCACCAGCCGAGCCGCCGTTTCTGCTGCTGACAGCAGCGGTGAGAAGGCAGACTTCTGGATCGAGGCAAGGAGACACTGGGCGCTGCAGCAGCAGCAGCAACAGCAGCAGCAGCAACAACAACAGAGACTTATTGCTCTAAGGCGCTCCAGCAGCACCAGCGACAGCTACAAGGTGCTCCAGCAGCAGCAGAAGCAGCAGCAACGACACTAAAAGCAGCAGCACAAGCAACAGCAACAGCAGCAGCACAAGCAACAGCAACAGCAACAGCACAAGCAGCAGCAACAGCAACAGCAGCAGCAGCGGCGCGCCATACTGTGCGAGGGCAGAGATTTGCATAGCAGCAGCAGAGCAGACTGTCCTTCTTTGCTGCAGTTGCTGCTCCTCCTCTACTATGGGGAGCTGCAGCTCGGTGATGTCTTCAGGTTTGCTGCAGTCACTGCCACCCCACACCTGCAGCAGCAGCAAAAGCAGCAGCAGCAGCAGAAGCCTTGAGAAGCAGCAAGTGCTGCATGTGATGCCTTCTTAAGACGAAAAGCAGCAGCAGCAACAACAGCAGCAGCAACTGCAGCCAAAAACTGTACAGACACCTACGTCAGCAACCAGGCCTTGCTGCTGCTCCATCGAGTCTGGCTGCTGCTGCTGCTGTTGCTGCTGCTGCTGCTGCATGGAGGTGGGCGAGGGTGGCAGCGGCAGCACCTCCTCAGAAGCACGCAGCAGCAAAACCTGCGGCAGCTGGAGTGTCTCTGCAGCTGTTAGAGGCAGCAGCAGCAGCGACAGCACAGGAGGCAACGTGAGCGTACACCCCGGCATCTGCTGCAGCAGCACCCCACACTTAGCAGCCATAGCAGCAACGCGAGAGAGAGCAGCAAGCGGCGGCGCATGCGGCTCAACTCCAACCTGCTGCTGGAGCAGCTGCTGCTGCTGCTGCTGAAGGCTGGAAGCAGAAGGCAGCAAAGTTGCTGCTGCTGTGTTTAGGGCCCGGTATTGCTGCTGCAGCGTTGCTGCGCTGCACACGATAGGACTGAGAGACGGCTGCAGCTGCTGCAGCAGTTGCAGCTGCTGCAGCTGGTTCTCTGGCTGCAACTTTGTCCTGCTGCTCTTCTTCTGCTGCTGCTGCTGTTGCTGCTGCTGCGCAATGCGCTGCCACGGCTCAGCTGCTGCTGCAAGCTCCTGCTGCAGCGCTGCAACAGCCTGCAGCAACCAATGAGGAAAGCTCCCCGCAGAGTCCGTCAGCTGCTGCAGCAGCAGCAGCTGCTGCTGCTGTTGTTGATGCTGCTGCTGCGCAAGGAGCTGCAACCTGAAAAAAGGAGGCATGACGCAGGCACCCGCTCCTATTACGCAGGACGGCAGCACGCAGCAGCAACTAACAGCAGCAGCAGCAGCAGCAGCAGCTCGTCGGCTCACCAGACAGCAGCTGCGTGCAGCAAACAGAGGCGGGCAGCAGCTTCCAGCGAGTTGCTTCCCTGCTGCTCCTCCAGCAGCAACTGCAGCAGCACACCCCACAACCACAGCCGTAGCAATGAAGGCCAGACCGTGCATGCCAATCGCAGCAGCAGCAGCAGCAGCAAGACTCGACTCACTGCAGCAGCAGCAGCAGGGGCCCCTGCATGCAAACTAGAAGATACAGCAACTCGGTGCAGCAGCCGCCGCGCCTGAAGTCCTGCTGCAGCAGAAGCTGCAGATACAGCTGCAAGCGGAAGCGAGCCTGCTGCTGCTACAGCTGCTGTTGCTGCTGCTGTTGCAGCTGCTTCGGCCTCCGCCGCTGCTTGGCGGACACACGGGGCAGCACTAGACGCAGCAGCAGCAGCAGCTGCTGCTGCTGCAGTTGCTGCACCTTCGCTGCAAACGGCAAGAGGGTCGCTAGCTCCAAATAGAGCTGCTGCTTCCGCTGCTGCTGCTGCTTCTGCTACTGCTGCTGCTTCTGCTGCTGCTGCCTCTGCTTGCAGCGTTCCCACCGCAGCAGGTTGTCCTTCCTCTGATGCGGCGCCTGCGCTGTCTTCAGCAGCAGCAGCAGCAGCTGCTCCTGCTGCTGCTGCTGCTCCTGCCGCAGCGTCCTTTTGCAGCAGCACGCGTGACCTCAGCATGAAGCGCAGCAGCAGCAGCAGCAGCAAGAAGGCCCCTTCCTTGTCTCCCCACTCTTGCTGCAGCAGCTGCAGCTGCTGCAGCGCCTGCAAGACGCAGCCATCTTCAACAAGTGCTGCTGCTGCTCGGCGCCGGGTTTGCTGCAGAACTTCGCGCGCTGCTGCGGAGTTGGGAGCTGCAGCAGCAGCTCTTGCTGCTGCTTCTGCTGCCATCAGCAACAGCTGCGTGCGTATAGAAGGAGCTACGACATCCTTCTCAGCAGCAGCAGCTGCTGCTGCTGCTGCTTGTGCGTCTGCAGCCAGATGCGGATATCTATGCTGCGGCAGCAGCGTAATGGCAGGAGCAATTGCTGCTGCTTGCTGCGCTAGCAGCAGCAGCAGTTGCGTGCGGAAAGAGTGTTCAGCTGCTGCTGCTGTTGCTGTTGCTGTTGTTGCTGCTGCTGCTGCCGCTGGGGCCCCGTGCTGCAGAAACATCTCCAAGGCCTGGCGCAGCACGCCCATGGCTGCTGCAGCTCTTGCTGCTGTTGCTGCTGCTGCTGCTGGCAGGTTAATACAAGCATTAGTGCTGCTGATGCCCCTGCAGCACCTGCTGCTGCTACTGTTGTTGCTGCTGCTGCAGCCCCCCTGCAGCAGCAACCACAGCTGCAGCGACAGGCGCATCATCTGCAGCTCCATAGAAACCGGCTGCTGCTGTAGCTGCAGCAGCGTCTCCCCCGCCTGCATGCAAGCAGAAGGCCGCAGCAGAAGCATCACGTTTAGCAGCAGCAGCAGCAGCAGCAGCAGCAGCAACAGCAGCAGCAAAAATCACCCGTTTACCTCTATGCAATCTGCAGCAGCAGGCGATATTGTGAGGGCGTCAAGTAGAGGCCGTGCTGCGCTGCATGCGCCGTTCTGTTGCTGCTGCAGCTGTTGCTGCTGCAGCAGCAACAGCAGCACCGCCACCCTCGGTGGCTTGTCGCCGTGCGTTAGGCCTGCTGCTGCTGTGCTGTAGAAGGGGAATGCAGCAGCAGCAGCAGCAGCAGCAGCAGCAGCAGCACTGCTTCCATTGAGGGACGCCACGAGGCCCTTAAACCACTCCGCCTGAGCAGCAGACGCCTTAGACATCGCAGGGTCGACAGCAGCAGCAGCAGCAGCAGCAGCAGCGGCAGCAGCGGCAGTTGCAACGAGAGCAGCAGCAACAGCAGCAAGAACAGCAGCAAGAGAAGCAGAGGACACGGCTGCCAGCAGTCTTCACTCACTGTCTCCTGCGCGCGCTTCACCTGGCCCTCTGAGCCTTCCCACACCCGCTGCTGTTGCTGCTGCTGCTGCTGCTGTTGCTGCTGCTGCTGCTCTTGCTGCTGCTGCCAAGATAGCGCAAGCAGTAGCTGCTGCGCCACAACAGAGTCGGCGTAGGTGGCAGTGGCTGCTGCTGCAGCATAGCGGACGAGGCATCCCAACTGCTGTTGCTTCTGCTGCTTTCGCTGCTGCTGCTTCGCTTGCTGCTGCTGCTGCTGCTGCTGCTGCGGGTCTATAGCACATAAATCCTCCCAGCAGCGGCTTCCCTCTGGCAGCAAAAAGGGCACAAAGCAGCGTCGCACTGCAGCAGCAGCATCTGCTGCTGCTGCTGTTGCTGCTGCAGCGTCCACTGGTTGCTGCTGCCGTGAAGGTTCTGCGTCCTCACAACTGCTGCTGCTGCTGCTGCTGCTGCTGCAGCTCAGGACCTGCTTGCACAATCTGTTCGCGAAGCCCGTGCATGTAGCCGTTAATGCGGTGAGAATAGGGAGCTCTGTTGCTGCTCCTGCTGCTGATGCACCTCCTGCTGCTGCTGCACCTGCTGCTGCGGCTGCTGCTGCAGTCGCAGGTGCGCTGCCGCTGCACACATGGAGCTGCTGCTGCACTGCACCCAGCAGCAGCAGGCGCCACTTGTCTGAGGGGGAGAGCAGCAAGCGCTGCTGCAGCAGGGAAGACAGTTGCTGCTCGTGCTGCTGCTGCTGCTGCTGCAGCTGCACTTGCGGCCGCGCCTTCGCCAGCTGCAGGTTGCTGCTGCAGCTGCTGAGGAAGAGACAGAGAGAGCTGCCTCGCTGCAGCAACGCAGCAGCAAACTTGTCAATGGGGTCCCCAGTAAGAGACTCTGCCTGCTGCTGCTGTTGCTGCTGCTGCCGCTGCTGCTGCAGCAGCTGGTCCAGCAGCAGCAGCCGCTGCGACCTTTGCTGCCTCTTCTCCTCCCCTGCTGAAAACATCATATCTAAAGACTGCTGCTGCAGCGGTAGGAGACGCTGCAGCACGTACTCCTGTGTAGCAGCAACAAGCGGCTGCTGCTGCAGCAGCAGCAGCTCCCCGTGCTGCAGCTGAGTGTGCACTGTACATACACCCGAAGGGCGCAACAGCAGCGGCACGGCGAAACTCAACTCCTTGAACTGCTGCTGTTGCTGTTGCTGCTGTTGCTGCTGCTGTTGTTGCTGCTGCTGCTGCTGCGGAATCCTGGGGGAGAAGACAGCTGAGAGAGGCCACGTCTCTGCAGCATAACGAAATGCAGCAGCAGGAGCAGCAGCTGCTGCTGCTGCTGGATGCTGCTTGCAGCGCATCAGCGCTTGCTGCTGCTGCAGCAAGAACCGCCCCCAGACCTCCGATGCTCCCAGTTGCAGCAGCAGCTGCTGCTGCTGTTGCTGCTGCTCTTGCTGCACGTGAGACAGCCACAGCAGCATAGAGACACAGGCACTGACTGCAGCACGCTGCAGCAAAGGACCTGCTGCAGCATCACCTCTCACTGCCACATCCCTGGTTGCTGCTGCTGCTGCTGCTCCGTCTGCTGCTGCTGCTGCTGCTGCCTGCTTTGTGAGACCCCACAAGATCCGCTGCAGCAACAAAACTTCCCAGTCCTCTGCAGCTTCAGCTGTTGCTGCTGCTTCTGCTGCTGCTTCTGCTGCTGCTGCTGCTGCCATTCGACGCGCTGCTGCGGCTGCTTGCTGCAGCAGGACGCTGTCTCTGCAGCAGCACCAATTGCTGCTGCTGCTGCGCAGCGCACGCAAGGCATCTCCAGTTACAAGGGGTGCCCCTGAGCAGCAGCAGCCGTCGAACTCCCTGCTGCTGCTGCTGCTGCTGCTGCTGCTGCTGCTTGCGTTGCAGAGTGAGAGTTCATCAGCAGCAGAGCTGTTGACTGTGTAGTAGCTGCTGCTGCTGCGGCTCGTGTTGCTGCTGCTGCTGCTGCTGCTGCTGGAGGCGATGCTTTCTGTATCTGAAGTCTCGTGGCAGCTGCTGCAGGGCTGCAGCGCCAGCATCAAGCAGCAGCAAAGCCGCCCCCTACCTAAAACGCGTACGCAGTGTGCAGATACCTGCAGCAGCAGCAGATCTAAAGCTTCTTCTTCTGCTCTCTGCTGCGAGATGATGATGCTGCTGCTGCTGCTGCTTCCGCTGCTGTCAGGAGGTTGCTGCTGCTGCTGCGGCGGCGGCCTCCACAGTAAGGTGCGCAGCAGCGCCCACCGCAGCTGCTGCTGCTGCTGCTGCGGCATGCTTAGAAGGGGCAGCAGCAGGGGCGGCTCTGCTGCAAGGTCTACAGCCAGCAACTGCTGCTGCTGCTGCTGCTGCAGTTCGAACCCTTGCTGCACCTGCCGAGAGAGCCACAAAGTGTCTCCGATTAGCAGCGCACTGCTGCTGCTGCTGCCGCATGCAGCAGCAGCAGCAGCAGCAGCGGGAAGCATGCAGCGCCGCCAGACGGAGACAGTTGCCCTCGGAGTGAAGCAAAAAGACAGCCGCAGCAAACAGTTGGACTGCAGCAGCAAACAGCCGCTGCTGCCGCTGGGGCTCACCAGCAAAGCAGCA